AAAGTAGCTAAGAGCCAGTTATTAGCCTTACATCAAACAACAAAGATTCGTGGTGTGATTTTATTTACTTTTCCATTTTAGACTAAGGCAAATAAGCAACAGACCAAGGAGTTTACTTTGTAGTACTTGTTCGCTCTTTTAGGAAGTCAATAACAAGTCAGTCACTGATGTGTTCAAGGGAGAGGCTATTTACTTTTTTTTGACCAGAGTTTTCTTTTTCTTAGCTCTTCCTCCTCCTCCTCCCCTCATCTTAGAAAAAATATTTTGATCACTGCATGCGGACTCTTGTCCTGTATGCAACATTAATTTAGTCTGTGTGACTGTTTCTAGACCATTCTGAAGCTGAAAGATCAAGGGGTTTTTAATACCCACACCAGTGATTGCAAGCAGTACTTTTCCAGATAGCAGGTCCTTTGAATTGCTGATGAGTGATCAATATCCTGGAGAGGGAGAAGTGGTGTCACTTAAGCCACAGAAGAGCCTGTTAGTATTTTTTACACAGGGACCATGGATGTCCTGCTAATGACAAAGGGAAAAGCTTGCTTAATTTCTTTCAAGCTAATATGCTGCAGAGTAGTGTGAACACATCTGAGAAAGCTTTGTGGAATTGTTGGCTTATGAACTATATTTTAAATGCTGGATAGAGTTGTTAGGCTATTTTAGGTAAAGGTGGAGGCGATGCGTGAGAAAGCCGAGGGGAAAACAGGAGATTTATCTTTGAAATGGTGGGCTTCCTGGATCACGAAAGGCAGTGAGCTAGAGATGCTGCATCCTAGAGTGGAAGGGCAGGGACTCCGTGTTGCGTCTCAGCAGCAAGCAGAAGGCACGTCCATGGTTGGAGCTGAGGGGACCCACAGGGAATGCCGAGGTGGCCGATTGGTAGCATTACCAGGCCTGAAGGGGAGGGAAGGAAGGAGTGTTTCTGGAGCCAGATACGAGCTGGAGCTATGAGGAGGCACTTGGGGCAGAAGCCAGTGCAGGGACATGTGGCACAGCCAGGATTACAGAGCCAAGATGTTCCAGGAGCCAGAGATGCCCCAGCAGTTTCTCCCTTCATCCTTTGCTGCCTGCTAATGCCTCCCATTGTGGAGGCAGGAACACAGCACCCCACCCCAGGGTAATCTCTAGAAGGAATCCCCCAACCCCCGCCCTGCCTGGCGCAGACGGCAGTGGATAAAGAGGAGCATGGGCAGTAATTGGCACAGAGACCAGTGGGCAAAAGCTTTATATTCAGCATAATTTCCTACTTTTGTTTCAAAGCATTTCCAGTCTTCAGAGAATAGCCATTGCTGCCATATTATGGGGAATGAGAATATCAGCTTGTGAAAAGTCTAATTCATGTGCTCATATTTACTCAGGTGGCCTATCTTCACCACTTATTGATTCCTTTTTTTCTTTCCCCTCATAAACAGTGTAAGTGAAAGAAAGATCTATCATTTATGACAATCCTAAGGGGTGAGGGGAGATCCAACTCCGTACTTCGAGCTCCCTTAAAAACAAAACAAAACCAAAATTTCCACAAAGCACCCACACCCACCCATTTATTGACACCTGTGTAAAAACACACACACAGGCATGTTCACACAGGCTCACTAGCAACTCTAGAAAATAATTCAGAACTTTTCAGGTACTATGTTGATTTAGGGACAATTGGAAATGCCTATTAGAGTTTGGGGGCGGATAAAGTGGCAGTTGATAAATCTTGAGTCAGAAAGGAAGGGGAGCATTATTAATTATTGCTATGTAGGACACTCTCACAGAACAATGGAAAGATTCAGGCAGATGTTGTAATTCTGGGTCTAGTGGTTCCAGTGCATCCTGGGGTTCCTACTGGGCTGGGGAGTGAAGCACAGTTCTGAGAAATCTGAGGAGGGCTGGTTAGGATTTGGGAGCTTTTTTCCACCTATTGCCTCCTT